GCTCGCCTGCAGCGGGCAGGGCGGCCGGGGGGGAGCCGGCAGCTCAAAATCCCCGAAAGTGATGAAAATCGCCAGTGCCACCGCGGGCCCCCACGCCCGGGAGAACCCAAACCCCAGCAACCTTCCTGGGCAGGGCGTGCCGTGCAGGAGTCCCGCTCTTGCGCCATCCTCTTCCCTTTGATTTGGTTAGTCCGGCTCGGAGAGCCGAAGGGCCTGCAGCAAATAAAAGCTATTATGTATGAGTAATGCTTTGCTCTTTATTTACACGCAGCAGCCGAATTACAAGAAGCTGTCTTGTAATTTCTCGCTGGGCTTGCTCGCGTACAGTCACAGACATAATGAGAGCTTTGGAAAGTGTCGTTGCTATAGCTTCTCCTGCCATGTATCATATCCTCTGCCAGACAGAACAGAAATGCCGTGGTTGCAGAGAACGGCACTTGGTCGGGGTTTGAATAAACGCCTGACAAAAGGGGAGCGGTACGTACTCGGACAGTAAAATATGTAAACGCCTGCTTAAATTATTTGACAAATCATTTCTAGAGTTTGGATCAATTAAAACAAACCCGCATATCCTTATCGTTATTATCATTGTTATTATTATTACCTTATGCCATCTAGCAGATTACTTGGGAACTGCAAGTAACCACAGTGGCATCAGATTATTAGAAGTGCTTGTCCATTTGCTTACATTTCAAAAATACCCCCTCACTGGAGGGCAGCGTCTGCAGCTCCGTCTCCTGAGGCTTTGCAGCCACAGCTGCTACCAGGGGACGCCTGACCGCATTTATGGTTTCCAGAGGCCGCTGGTGGGTGTGGGGCTGTAACACGCTGCATTTCCTGTCTTCACCGGCTCTAGCGCAGCATTTTTGCAGCGTTTAGGAAGGCTGTTGCTGGCCCTGAGATGTGAATGTGTTCATGCTCTCATTTTCCTATGGGAAAACCGCAGTCGGAGAGTTGCACGGGCTGGGTGCGCACTGGTCAGCAGACACAAGCCCTTACATGGCCGGGCCAGGCTGGCTGGACCCCTTGACATAAAGCCCAGCACCCATGGAGATGCCTGTGCTGAACTGAGCCCTCTGCCTCTTGGGCAAGTCCCACTGGGACTCCGCAGGAGGGCAGGCGAGGGGCTGAGGTCTGCCCCAGCCGGCGGCACCCAGCAGCAGCCCACCCCAGCTGGGGGGGTCCCTGCTTCTGGCCCTGGCTGGCCTGATGCAGACTGGGTGCTGGGCACCCGTCAGGAGCCCCCCCAGCGCTGTCAGCGTGGTGGGCAGGAGGGGCTATGTGCCACGCTGCGGCCCCTTGCAGGCAGCTCCTGCCAGCCTGCAGGACCGTCCCACTGCGTAGCAGGGAGAGAAAGACTTTGGTTGGAACAGCTAATTCCTTTCATCTCCAGAAGCATCCAATGCGCTTTTCTTTTGTCTTCTTTGTTTTGCAAGGTGAAAACAGAAGACGCTGCTGTGCACATAAAATAAATCCAGCAGCTTAGGGTGATATGTGACAC